AATGGTTTTTTTTTTAGGGATTGACAGAGTTAACCCTGTTTACCTAATTATTTGAAGATAAAAAAGATGAGGGTAGTTGGGATATTTGACAAGGTTTGAGAATCTGTTGGGAAGGCTTTTTTCATCACCAGGACATTTTTTTCATGTTCTGGACAAGACCCCTACCCCCACAGGACCTTTCTCCACCCAGAAGTTTCAATTATAGATACTTGAAAACAAATTTACGAAATGCTGTAGGGTAACCCTCTGATGGACAAGAGGGGATTGGCAGTACCTATTCTTATAGTCACCTTAGATCATGATATGCTTTACTTGGATGGGTGGTCTGGCTTGTAAGGTGACTTCACATACCAGAAGTACAGTGGTAGCCACCTTAAACTACCTTTCATTTCATTTTTTTTTTTTTAGTATTGCAGTGGAACCTCTCTTTCCACAACTGTGTTTAAAAGGTTTGCCAAAAGACTTCAGATCAGGAACACCACAGCTTGGACATGAAAATATCAGAGAAAAACTTCGTCAAAGATTCAGTGAGGAACAATCCATTGAAGATGAAAACGGTAAGAAAAGTAGTTTCTGGGTGATGTAATTCATTTGTTACAGTGTGAGTCTTGTTGTAAATTGCTGAGTAAATTCTGTCAGAAATTTTGCACCTAGGTCTAATAATCATTTTTTTTACAATCAGTGGGGTTGGTACTGCTAGTTATTGACTGTGTTTTAATAGGCCAGTTTCCATATATTAAAATTCAAACTTGGCTCCGAGGCTTGGGGAAACAAAACAAAAGAAATCCATGGAGGTTGAGGGATTAATAATTTATTTCTTTTGTTTTAGTCCCCCTTAGCTTTGGAGCTATGTTAGAATTTTAACATATCAAAAATGGCCTATTGCCATAGTAATGTGGCAACTTCAAGCAAACACCACTTGTATGCAGGAATATTCAGGGGGGATGGGAAGGGAGGGTTGGTCCTACGCTAATCCATCAGCTTTCAGTGGTAGTTTAATTGTCACGGACAGTGACTCTCTTGAGCAACTTCAGAACCCCTTCCCCCCCCC